TAACTACGATAAAATTCTCAATTGTATCCCCATATTTCTTGCATCGCTACGATCGTGTAAATTTCCGTCGTGAAAAATTGACCGCTAAAAGAATGGTTTTTTGCCCTAAAAAATTCTGTACCTCGCGAAGTTTTGAATTTATTGCGTTTTAATTTTTACAGGAGTTGCAGAGTCGGTTCATCTATTTATCGATTCTTCACACAACTTAATGAGATTATGATTTTTCTTTTTCCATCGCTTTAGAAAGTGAGGGGCCTATACTTTTTACGCCGATAATAGACCTGTTACGTCCGACTTTTTATGAAATGTTATCAAATAAAAAGGCGCGAAAAATTAGATTGAAATTTTATCTTTTTGCAGTATTTAAAATTTATGAGATACGTTGGAAGCGCTCGGTATGAACTTGGCCCAGGAAGCGTAGACGTAAGTTAATCTCAGATAGAGGACAGAATTCCTCTATCTTTTAATTTTTATTTTTAATTTAGGGATCGTTCAGAAGGACTCTATCCTTCTGACCCTTTCTTGCTGAGTGACTTTTCCTCGAATAGCGGGAAAATTGTGCACCTTACCTTTTTATAGATAGATATCCTACACAGCTACGACTGGTGATGGAAGGATTGAACCTGCAGGTTGTCGGGATGTTGTCCAGAGAGGCACTATCAATGAACTGTACCACGGGTTCTGTTTCTTTTTGACGTTTATTGATGTTTATTTACGTTCGGATTACACCCAAATTATTACACTTTAATGACAATTGTTTTCGTAAGATGTAACTATATTTAGCCACAACCTAAACTTCGCTTTGAACTTAATAATGCTCGTACGACGTCGTTGAGCTAACTGACGTCATAAAATTCTCGCGACGCTAAGTACGCGGGCTGTCTTGACTAATCTCTGGTCAGTGACAAAAAGCCCAGATAAAAATTGTTTAGTCTACAGGTAGACTCGGTACTTGGTCTAAGTCGCCGGGGGTTTCCAAGAAGACCGGAACGATAAAGCATCGTAAGCGCTTCCGATTTCAGCGTTTTATTTAAAAAGTACTTACAATGAAATTCCTTTTATTTAAATATAGCCTCTATTTTGTAAGGTAGCAAAAATAAAGACCTGTTTCTCAGCTTAGTCAGCTTGAGAACCTAAAATTTAAACAAAACGAATTTTTCCATTAAGCAAGGGCTTCGGGTTTCTGCATGGGAAATGAATTCTCTCATGAGGAAGCGTGAGACTCAATTTCCGTCAAATACAAAAATTATTTTGTCAGCGTATCGGTCAATTAAGTATGCGTTTGTTTTGGTTTACCAAAGGTAAAGCCAAATATATATATATATGAGGGAGGGAGAAAAAAGAGAAAAGAAAAATTGTAACCATAAAGTCGGACATAACATTCCCCCCTCAAGACGAACGTCTGCTGCAAGCAGGCTTTGTATTGCCTAGATGTCCGTGGGCGGGGGCGCGGATGCCGACAATGCCTTTTGCGCCAGCTGGTCTGCGCACTCATTTCCAAGCACTCCAAGGTGACCGGGGACGTGTTTGACTTGCGCGTCTAGTACCTCTAGATCGGCAGCTAGCGACAGCAGCTCATCTTTGTAGATCACAGGGCGACCGGAAGAAGTGCGCCAGTTTCGGCTTCTCCAGACGGGTAGCCAGTGGCACAGGCTATTAACTAGGAAACCAGAGTCCGTGTAGACTAGAACTCCCTTTAATTGATGGCGCTTAGCGATCCGAACTGCTTCTTCAATCGCCTCTAACTCGGCACCGTTGTTGGTCTTGCGGTTAGGGGCACATCTAGAAATATTCTCTGGGTGATCCTCATTGAAGAATACCCCAATGGCTGCGCGAGCTTCAGAGGTGCCGTTTCCGGTGCAGGCTCCGTCAGTGTAGATAGAAATTTTTCCTTCCGGGCCCCGCTGGAACAGGGTGCTGTTAATTATGGCCCTGATGGAAGAGCTAGACTGTAGTCCTCGGTGAAGAAACTCCTTGGCTTCGTGAAATCGACGAAAACGCCGAAAGACTGGAGCTGGGTATCCACTGACTTGCAGCCGACACTCATCCCAGGTGGGAAAGACACCGACTCGGCGACCCCGGGTTACTACGTAATAAGGCATTCCGGAGGTTCTTACAGGGAAAGCGGATATCACTTATAGTCCAGTCATATTAGATTTTAAATCGTGAAATCTTGAAATGGACAAAATTTTAATAGACTATTTGTAGGGGATGTAGAATTAGTTTCCCCTAAAAAAAAGTGAGCTTCGACACCGGGCAAGGGTTGAAATCAGCCTTTAAACGCTTTTTTATGCATTTTTCATGTTTGTTCTCATTTTTTTCGAGAACTATAACAGATATGAAAAAATCTTTTAAACAAAAGTTGTAGCGGCTACAATTTTACATAAAAAAGTCCGCATCTTCGCAACCTTACCTGTAACAGGTAAAAAGTTATTGACCTCTAAAGGTTGGAAAAATTCAAACAATGAAAATATTGAACACCCTTTGGGCACGATACTGCTGTGAGAGAAACAAAGCGATATGTCAGCGCTTGTCACACTCATTGCGAGTATTTTATCATAATAACGTGCCTAAACGAAACACAACGTAAACAAAACCCATGGGATAGACAAGGAGGGTTATGTTTATGTATTCAAATATAGGAAAGGATAGCTGACATCACAAGGTCAGCATTTGTAAGACTTTAAAGAAAACTAAGTGATCACCAGCATTGTATAGAGTAATCACCCCAAGTGACATAAAAAAAAAATCGCAAAATTAAATAGCATCAATCGATAAAGTTTTTAATGCTGAGTCGATTAATGATATTCATTTTTTGATTTTTTTTTAACGATACATGGGGTAACTGGGGGTAGAATGAAAATAATAATAACAAACTATTTCTGCAAGTGAGCTCAAGTTAATTTCAATTAACTTTACTTAAAAAACAGAATCGATTAAAATTAACTTGCAATAAAAATAATAATAACAAACTATTTGCAAGTTAGTTTTAATCGATTCTGTTTTTTAAGTAAAGTTGATTGAAATTAACTTGAGCTCACTTGCAATAGTTTGTTATTATTATTTTTATTCTACCCCCAGTTACCCCATGTATCGTTAAAAAAAAATCAAAAAAATGAATATCATTAATCGACTCAGCATTGAAAACTTTATCGATTGTACTATTTAATTTTGCGATTTTTTTTTATGTCACTTGGGGTGATTACTCTATACAATGCTGGTGATCACTTAGTTTTCTTTAAAGTCTTACAAATGCTGACCTTGTGACGTCAGCTATCCTTTCCTGTATTTTGAATACATAAACATAACCCTCCTTGTCTATCCCATGGGTTTTGTTTACGTTGTGTTTCGTTTAGGCACGTTTATTATGATCAAATACTCGCAATGAATGTGACAAGCGCTGACATATCGCTTTGTTTCTCTCACAGCAGTATCGTGCCCAAAGGGTGTTCAATATTTTCATTGTTTTGAATTGTTCCAACCTTTAGAGGTCAATAACTTTTAACAGCAACTCAATCCAATTCCTTCAGTCAATCACAGACAACTCATCAGAAGAGCAGATCCACTCATTTGAGAGCTGCAAAACAAAATTACTTGGGATCTCGTGGGTTCCAGCGAGTGACTCATTTAAGTTCAACTCAAAACCTCCTCGTGAGAAGTCCAAGCTCACGAAGAGAATAATTTTATCAGAAACAGTACAACTCTACGATCCACATGGATTTCTAGCACCTTTCATTGTCAGAGCAAAGATGTTGCTACAAGAAATCTGGCTAGATAAACTGTCATGGGATGACCAAGCCCCAGATCACATTCGCACCAAGTGGATCAGCTCCAGATCAGAACTCTCACACGTTTCAGACCTCTGAATTCCACGATGGTTAAAGATTACTCGGAAATCTACCGTGGAACTTCATGGCTTTTCAGACGCCTCACAACTAGCTATGGCAGCAGTTGTTTACATACGGGCTACTCATCCAGATCATGGAACTTGTTCAACTATAGTCTGCTCAAAGTCTAAGGTTGCTCCATTGAAGAAGATGTCTATTCCTAGACTAGAACTCACCGCAGCATTGCTGCTTGCCAGACTAATCACTTATGTAAGGAATAACTTAGACATTCAGCCAACTCAACTCGTATGTTGGACAGACTCCTCAGTGACGTTGACCTGGATTCAGTCTCACTCATCCCGTTGGAAGGAGTTTGTAAGAAACAGAGTGTCAGCAATCCAAGATCTCACTCCAATCAGCGTTTGGAGGTTTGTACCTGGCAAACAAAATCCAGCGGATTGTGCTTCTCGAGGTATCAGCATATCCCAGCTTCGGAAACACCCCCTTTGGTGGACAGGACCACAGTGGTTAACAGCAGACGAATCATTATGGCCAACTCAATCATCAGTGTACGATTTAAAAGCTCAGCAGGAAGAGCGGCCCGGGCTCACTTTAGTTACTCAGACAATTCACCATGATTATCATTGGGATATGATATACAGACATTCTCGGCTAATCAAATTGCTCAGAGTGACTGCAATTTGCTTCAGATTCAGCCAACTCCTCAGACGAGTACCGCAGTCATCTCTTACCTTTCCTCTCACGCCACGAGATTTAGAGAGAGCAAGGATTTTTTGAATAAAGGCGACTCAAGAATCGTATTTCTCACAAGAAATCAAGCAGATCAACTCAAATTCACTGCCCGTCTCACACCCCCTCGCACGATTGACAGCATTTATTGACACTCAAGGAGTCATACGTGTTGGAGGGAGGTTAGCAAATGCTAGCTTGGACCAAAAAGCAAAACATCCTGCAATTTTATCACAAGAAACTCACCTTTCCAGATTAAACATTGCAGATGCTCATGAAAGAACATTGCACGGTGGGACGCAGGCAACTCTGAACCTCATACGATCATCATACTGGATCATCGGTGGACGACTCCCAGTACGATCCTATATTTATCATTGTATGAAATGTGCTCGTTTACGTGGCGAACGAGCGAAGCAGTTAATGGGTCAATCGCCGTTATCAAGAATCACTCCAGCCCAACCATTTGCCGTCTGTGGTGTGGATTACGCTGGTCCCATCACACTAAAAACTTGGAAAGGCAGAGGCGCCAAAACATCTAAGGGTTGGATGTGCATTTTTGTGTGCTCCGTTACCTCTGCATTTCATTTAGAGATTGTAACAGATTATTCAGCAGACTTATTCATTGCAGCGTGCAGACGGTTCACTGGACGTCGAGGCGTATGCAGGACTCTCCACAGTGATTGTGGCACCACATTCCAAAGCGCAGACACGCTCGACAGACAACTCTTCAAGCAGGGGACTCAACAGGCCAGTCAACTCGCAGCTGTATTTGCAAAAGATGGAACTGAGTGGAAGTTCAATTTACCAGCTGCACCACATATGGGAGGAAAATGGGAAGCTGCAGTCAAATCTGTAAAATTTCATCTTAACAGAACTATAGGCGACTCACTCTTTACATATGAAGAGCTTTCCACACTGCTTGTCCAGATAGAAGCAGTCCTCAATTCCAGACCACTCGAACCTCTTTTAGCCGACTCTACAGACATCTCAGCGTTGACTCCAGCACACTTCTTGGTTGGTGAACCGCTCGTGACATTGCCAAAGCCGTCACTAGAAGATGTGCCACTGCCACGCTTGTCCAGGTGGCAATTTATTCAGCAGCGACTCCAATCGTTTTGGTCCACGTGGTCGAAACAATACCTTCAGCAGCAACTCGCCATTTCCAAGTGGAAACACTCCGTTCACAACATTACAGTCGGCTCACTTGTACTACTCACTAACGAGAGGTTCCCACCAACGAAGTGGCCTCTCGCCAGAGTGATTGAGGTGTTCCCAGGATCAGACGGACTCATCAGAACAGTCAAACTCAGGACAGCAACAGCAGAACTCGTCGGACCACTCACAAAGCTAGTCATCTCACCATACACTCCACCAGCAGAAGATCAGCAACGGCTGATGGTGGGACAATGTTCTAACTTGGAGGGGCCCAAGTCAGTGAGTCGGGAAATATTCAGAAATTGTTAATGCCGGACTTGTCCACCGGCGCGTCAGTCAACTCACTGGACCAATCATCGGGAAGTATTTCCCTCATGGCCCAGAAGGCAACTCTACGGCCCTAGTGACGCCAACAAGCACGCGGTCAAGCACTTGTGGCGTCAGTTAGCTCCAGGCAAATCACGCGGTCATCTCTGTATAATTTTTCGCAGTCAAATCGCGGTTTTGTGCAGTCAGCTTACCTTTGGTAGTACCGAATACGGTCAAGTAGACTCAGACAACTCTTACGAACATAAGTGAATCATCATAATTACTCTCATCAGTGCCAGGGGTCCAGTAAAGACAGTTGTAGTGTCTTCGGGCGCGAAGCTCAACTAGCGTCGACGCCATAGTGCCTCACGGACAGTCACACATACATCACACACTCGAACAAATCAGGTGTATAGTGTGCCTGTTGCTCTTCACTGTTTGAGACTCCTTTTGGTGAAAAAACAACCATCAGACAATTCAAAAGTGTATGAACACTTAATGTACAGTCATCTCACATAAACTTAGTGATTATTAATTTCTATTGTTTAAGTTACGTGTTATTTGTTAATAAAATCTATAAAACCCATACAATTTGGTATTAAGGAACTATTTTTAGGGAACCTTCTAGCATCCAACCTGTTCCGTTATTCTTCTCTTAATTATTACAGTCTATTAGTTTTTAGTTTGCTCGTCCGGCCGACTCGAAGTCAGAACGAATGCATAAACTTGGTTTATTCATAAACGCCGGGGTTCGGCATTAAAAATTTTTCTGTAGTATTATAGGGCAAAATTGTCAATTCTTCTTTTCCCCTTTTTTCGACCCACCCCCTCTGCACTGAGTCACGGGACCATTGTACTGAGTTCAAAACATATGGTAAAGGCGGTCTTATGTAGTTATGGGTTGGTACAGCCCGGCCTCATAACAGAACTGTAGAAGCTTGTCCGTCCTAACCGTTACAAGAATGGGTACGTCGGTTCCAAGGTTTCCTAATAGGCGCTGCCTAGGTTCCTTAGCCCCGAACAGTCCCTTGTCATGTAGAATGGCATCTCTTCTTCCTAACCACACCACTGGCACGTGGATTCCTCTCCGCGTCCCAGCATCTTCATATCACGACGAGTTAGCCAGTACCCTGTGACGGCGTCCACGACCACTCTAAGCCTTCTTTTATCTAGTTCGATCAGGTTCCTGCTAACTTAAGTTGTAGGTTTCCTGAGGAACGCTTTATTGTGCCTTATTCCTGAAGTCTCCGTCTAGTAGCTGGTGAATCTCTTGTACATACACTCTTCCCCCAGCGCCTTTACAAGTTCCCCGGGAGCATTAATCTCCACTGGGTCCTTGCCACCTCTACCGCTAGCACTTATACAGGCCAGCCTGTCGGCTTCGGTGCTGCCGCGTATACTGTAGTGACTCGGTACCTTTAGCAGCTTTGATTTATCGCAGCATGCTGGTTGCTACGTTTTAATGAAGAGCTCCAGTATGCCCTAAAGATCATCGACCATCTTTCCTTCTCAGAAACTAGGAGATTCTAGGCCTTGGAGTGCTACGTTCTTACTGAGAGTGAGCAGCTTGCGGATCCTGGCTACCTCAGGTAGAGCCTCCAGTCTCTCACAAAAGTTTATCCAGGCTTCCTCTTTACTGATTTGACCATAGACCTGAATTTCCTCCGAAAGGCTTTATATTCAGTCCATGTCTGATTTGTCTTGAGCCTCTTAGCCCTGTTGAAGAGTCTCCTGGTTTCACCTTGTTCAAGCTCCATGTTCCACCATGAGACTCTTCTTCCCTTTTGTATCTCCCTGGCTGAGCATGAGCAATTATAGGCCCCTACGATAGCGTCCTGTAGGTCCAGCACCGCCTCATTGAGGCTAGCCGGAGACCCAACACGCCCCTCCATTTCAGGTTCCCCCATGAGTCTTCCCAGTTCCCGCCTAAACAGGCCCCAGTCAGCACCCCTTGAGTCTCTTCGGACTTGTGGTTTCACATTGCCCACCTCCCTTGCCAGAGTGAAGTCAATGCACCGGTGGTACGATAGAATTTCCTCGTCGTTCACTTCCCACCTCCTGACGAAATCATAGATTATCGCCGTAGCGACGGTTATGTCAATGACCTCCTGCCTGACCAAGGTAACAAATGTAGGTTTGTGCCCTCTGTTCAGGACTTCCAGGCTACGCTGAGTGAGTTATTCCAGTAAGCTAGCCCCTCCCCAGGCTTCCTCTCCAGCTCTATTTTCACCTGTACTGCCGCTAGATACGTTGTGTAGTATTGGCTGAGCCTCACAGGGTTTAGTTCTCGTCTCACGTATGACCTAGGGTCCTTATCACCTTTACAGCTTATAAAGGATCCACCTTTGGCATCTCCCTACAAAATCTCTCCCTCCCTACAATAAGGTTCTTGGATCAGGAAAACATCTGTGTGCTTCACCGCTAGATCCTGACAATGTAATGCCGCGGCCGTGTAGCAGTGATGCAACTTAATCTGCGAAATCTTCAACAGCCCCGATATCACAGGGATCTCGGGGCCGTTTAATTTCGCGTGTTGAGAATGGGATTGGAAATGTGAAAGCATGGGAAGGTGTTATCCCTACGCAGAGGCCAGCCGTGTCGCCATCCCCTCTTGCGCCCTCTCCCATGGGAGGGTTATCCGTTGGCACTGCTTCAGGCCTTACCATGTCGGTCAGCCTGATTCGAGACAGAACCTTCCTTACATTAGCCAGCTCCTGGTTCTTCGTAAGTCTTCCTGTGCCCCACTAGTTGCCGTAGCCCAACTACTAGTCTGAGGTTCGCCCTCACCACAGTGTGCCTTTTCAAGCTCCGGCGATGGCTCCCTCAGAGGTACGGAGTTGGTAGGCCCTCCTAGCGTTTCTTTCCACTTCGAAGTAGAATATTCGCACGCATCCTCTTCCCTCTTAGAGGAGGTATCACATTGGAAGTCCCTGCCATTAGTAATTATCGATTGAAAATGACGAAAAATAACTTCATTTAGGCATCTATACAACTTGTGGATATACATTAATCTTTATCAAAAATAACAAAAAATTATTTTTTGATGCCATCAATTTCAATCGAAGGAGTATAAAAATTTACGAGATCTTTGTCTTCGCAATTCTTAAAATGACATTAAAATCTATGCCGAAAAAAAGGTTCCCTTTTTTCCCAGATATGTATCAGAATGAAGAAGATAAATTATTCATTTATTGTACGTGTTACATTTATGATAATTACTGTGAAAATGTTCAAGACACAATAATTTTTTACACCATGCACAACGGATAAATGCATTATTTTTACATCCTGGAATTTTACTATGAGGCATACAATTATCTACAAATGCAAAATCAACTGGATTTTCAAATTCATCTAGTTTGTTAAATGTCTAACTACTTTCAAACTCTGAATAACGATGAAGATTAATGTATTGCGAAGACGAGAGTTGATTATAAGTCAGTGATTGTAATTTAATAATATTATTTTTCAAGTGTAAATTTGAATCATCTCTTCGTAAGAAAACACTGTCTAAAAAATGTCTTACAAAGTTTTTCCATATTCTAAACCCAAAAACATCTCATAGTTAAATTTCAGCTTCAGAACCATGCCTAGTCGACGAATCAATCAAAAGTAAACTCTTTTTTCCAACATTTGGAAAAAAACATCCTACAACCAGATTTTGAAGTGTTCAAAAAAAATTAGTATATAAACTTCCAGAATATATAATATAAGATAATATTTGAATAGAATTTTTTAACTGAAGTTTTTCAGATTTTGAAATCTTTACGTGTACACTATCTGGTGTAAAAAGCGATGCTTTTACCCGTAAAAAAAGTTTTCTAGTTGGTTCTTTCAACACAAGAAAATGGGAAGTGTGGATTTTTCAACCGGATGATATCGTTGGTTCTGTGGTATAACACTATGTTGTCGAAGATAAAGAAATTAGCTATTTAACATACTTCTAAGTCGAATATTAACAATTTCCTTTGAATATTGAGTTGATACTGACTAGACATTATTGTTCACAACCAAATATGACTTTCAACAATTACACATTGTTTATAACAATACGAATTTGTTACAAACAATTAAAAATCGTATTCATTACTCATGTGACGTCCGTCTGTTTTTATTAATTTCGAGAAGTAATTGACAATTATCTCTCCTCATGATTGTTTTAGTAATTACTCTCTTATTATTGATATGTTTCTTGTGTTTGATCATTTTGTAATATCCTTTGGAAAACAATTTTTTCAACCTACTTATTATTTACTTAGCGTTAAATTCGTAATATTGTCAATAATTTATGATCATGTTAATTTTAATTTAATGAAATATTCTATAAAAATTATGAAAGAAGTAATAAAACAGTTAATGTTACTTTGAAAAGTTTTACCAATAAGTAATAAATCATCTGTATCTTATATACATGCAATTGAACTTGAAATTTTGTAGCAACGAAAATAAATTGATAATCAATGCCTATTGTAATACCTTTTAAACTACTCTAAGGAAATTGTACCGTTTCAACACATATTAGTAGAAACAATTAGGAAGGTAATTACGCCCGGTGACGTCGGTGCGTAGCGAGTAAGATACCTTCAGGCTAAGGTGTTACCAATATGGAAAGGATAGTGTGCTCCCTGAAGTATTAGTTTTCACCAATAAAATTTAATAAGTTCAAAATCACAAAGCAAATTGGTTTTGACTTTTCTCACTCTCGGAAGAGTCAACGCCTTGTTCAGATAATATTTATACCATTAAAAAAACTCAATCGTCAGTTGCAAAATCGTGTTTGAACCAAACGAACGTAAATCAGTGTTTAAATTGTGGTTACTGTTTAAATCAAGTGACTATTGGGTTCCTTATCTCAAATTGTACATTCTATGGATTTACTTGCTGTTAATTCAAGGTATTATAATTTTATTCGAAAATGTTTATTTTTTTTCATTGAAACTGCTTTTTCAATCAAATCAATCTTGTACTCTTTCTAGTCCTACTCTGTACTCCTTCCCTGT